CTTGAAGGAGCATTGACATTAGCTGTATGATTTGTGCATGTTTGTTGGGTAACTTTTTATCAATTCCTTAGCAAGGGTAAGCCTACGAAGCCGTTCACTCAAGCAGGGCAAAAGACGACTCAGGCTTTTGGTGCATGACTTCATGGAGAATGCTCGGCCCTCGGGCGCGCATGCACGCAGGAGCCCAAAAAGCTTGAGCTGGGAACCTAAAGATCGCGGCCCGGACGGACTCTGGGGTCTCCATAAATATGTTCTATGTTGGGGTAGGCTAAATGTGGAAAGTCCGACCAGATGTGGAAAGATTGGGCTTGACAAGCTGAAATAATACCGACCGCCCAGATCCAGCCCGGTGGCCTTCCAGCTGCCGCCCACAATAGAACCAGGAAGGGCTCACCTAGACCCACTTTGAACATAGCCACTGCGTGCGAAGACAACTTGAATGCTGGCTTTGTCTCAGGCTTCTGGGCCAAGAGTGCAACCTTGTTGGGGCCTTCAGGATGGAACTAGGGGGAGAGAGGGAGAGAGAGACCTTCTGGATACATCCTCAGGGCATACCGCAGGGTGCCAGTTTGCACGGTCCTGTGTCCAATAGACGGACCCCTTGAATTGTAACTTTTGTTGCGTTGCCCTTTGGTACCAGCCCAGGTGCCGCAGAACCCTTTGTAACCCTCCGGCACGGCATTGAGACACTCAACTATTGGCCAAAAAAGTACCAACTCCAAAAACCTACCAGCCAGCCAGCCAGCCAGCCAGCCAGCCAGCCAGCCAGTCAGCCAGCAACAGGCCAACCAACCAGCTGACACCCAGAACTTCAGTCACTCTTGGTTTGGATCATATTGCTTCATCAAAAGCTCGGACTTTTTTCCGCCAAACCCAGGAAGTCAAAACCTTTTGGGAACCACCCCGGTGGACGAGCCAGATGGGGAAACCACCCCAAATGTGGACATTTTCCCGGGAAGCGAGGCAACCAGCCCAAATCTCGGGGGAGCCACCCGCGCCACTTGGATTTCGTCTCGAGGTGCCCGAGACGTCTCTGCCCCGGCTGGCCGCCGCCATCGGCGCCCTGGCGCGCTACCCCCGGCCAGGGGCCTCGTGCGAGTGCCCTTGTTGAGGGCTTTTAGGGAGGGTTCCCTTGTCAAGGGGTGGGTTCAACGGGAGGGGAGCCAAAGGAAAGCATGAGAACCAGTTTGGGGGACACAATATTTTGTGGGCTATTCGGGGGTGGCAATCCCTCAAATACGTGGACTGGTTGGTGCTAAGTAAGCCATATTATGCGGAATTTGCCCACAGCAAGCCACATGGATACGTTTGTCTCAACGTGCAGGCCCCCTGTTGAAGAAGGTCAACTTCGGATGTATCCACAGGATGCCACTTCACAGAGGAGCCTCCTAAGATGTATCATTTTCCGTACTAAAAAGCAAAACAATCCTGATGAGTCCGGTCCTCCAGTTGCAAAGTGAGCTACCCAGTGTGGCAGACTGGCCAACTTGCCAGCAGTGGATGGTTTCCTGATAGACAGTGGTGAGTGTGGGTAGCTTGTTTTTCAGAAGTTTTTTCAGAAGCTTAAACTTTGTCAAATTTTCACTTTATGGATGCAGAGCCACACCACGGGGAGCCATGGGCTGAGCCCTAACAGTGACCAAAAAGTCCCTAATTGCAATGCCTGCTTTTGCTATGGTTCTGATTTGTTTTTCCAAGAATTGCAGTATTTTCCTACCTGGCTCTCTGCACAACAAGGAAAGTGGCAGGATTGGCAGATTCCTAACCGCGCTCAAAGGATTTAGGATTTGATGTGCCAAAAACTGACTGTATTTTATTACCTGGCAGTCAATGATCAACAGTGAGTTTTTGTTCATGGCATCTGATCTGTCAGCCTACGCCGAGGCTTGGAGTGAGCAGCTCCCTAACGGCGGTGGGCCCTGAGCTCAGCAGCCGAAGTTCGCGCAGTTCTTTTGGGCCCACCACGTCTTTTGGTTGAGGGTACCCTTGCCTGGTGGTTTTTCAAGCGGAAACCAACTGGGAAATCACCATGTGTAAGGGTCGCCGACAGAACACCCCACCCACTTGGGAAACGAAGTTGGTACCCCTTCAGGAGAGGCTTTGAAGGGAACCCGCATATTTCAAGACACGCTGAATGGATGAGAGGATTTTTTGGAGCAAGCGGGAAGGCCTAGGGACAAACCAATTGTCAATTGCAGCTGGCATAGCAGGAATTTGCCATCTCTCGCGTCTTTGTTCCAAGGCGGCAGTTGGCGGTCCCAGGTACGTGAAACCCTTTCGGGACCAAGCCCCAGTTGGTCCGGTAGCGGATTTGATCACAAATATGTATCGCCGTTCAATAAGGCCTCAAGTCATATCCCTGTTGCCCAGTTGGTAGCTCATCAGTTCGCAAATGGGGGATGCTGATTTGCAATTGGAGGATTATGCTATGAAACTGAGCTTTTGCAGGTCGACCCACGTTCATTTTGACGCACCAAATGTCTCAGCACCGCTTTGTGTACCAGTTTTAGCTGAGTCTCTTTTTGGCGGAAAGATGTCTGAAGTAATCCGTTCCCCCTAATCATAAACGCAGATCCCCCCACATAATAAACATCTCTGGGGGACAAAACATATTTATTAATAGGGTCCTGTGGGGTCGACCGGATTTCCTCTTGGGTCCTCGTCCAAATGGGCCCCCCCCCTTTCCCGGACACGAAAAACCTCAAATCCGCAATTGTCCGAGTAACGAATATACGGTTAAAGGTCTTTTTGTTTTTGCGGTTCAATAGTAGAGGGTGCAGTTTAAACTCAGAATTACAATTCCAGAAATAGAAGTAAATTAGTAAAAGGTAAGTATGCATTTAGAATTTGGTATTGGGTTGGTGCAAGGAGCCCCCTAGTAAGGCTGGGGTTGATCTGGGCGGAGACATCGGACAGTTTAGTGTTGATTTTGAGTTGGGCTATTCCAAGAGTAGTATTGGGGACCCGGCTGTTTCAGCCAGTCTGGGAAAAACAGTATTTCTTAATAGGGTCCAATTTCAAAAGGGGGAACGGATTAGGATGTAGGAAGGCCCGTGGTCGTACCAAAGGGAAACCATCATAAAACCTATGAATCCAAACCTTGCAAGATCATCGTGTTTTTGAAGTTTCTTTGAGGGTCAATAAGCGATATCCGTTTCAGATTTTGAGGAGGAGAACCCTACAAAAAGACGCCTGATGCAATCAAAGGGTTGGAACCAATCCATTTGGAGAGGTTCCTGACAAACAATCGACCATGCCCAAGTTGCGCAGAAACACCGACCATCGAAACACGTTGAGAGCGGCTGAAAATAGACAGGGACACAGAAGTGCGGGAAGCTTTGAATAGTGGGTGAGCCAGTATGGTCCCTTTGGACTTCGTTCAGGCTAAGCTTGATCACAAGACTGCAGCCAGGTCTTTCGCAATCCTCGTCATAATGAGCATTAGCTTTCATCCGCGACACATTTGGAAACCATCAGGTCGCCACCCTTGCGAGGCTTTCTCTGGAACGTGGCAGATGCCCTCGCGAGGTATCACTGTGCCGGTAGCCAAGGGGCTGCTGTAACCAAGTCGCTTTGATCCGGGTATGGTGCAACTTTAAATGCTTACTTGCTCAAAGCCGGCCGGTTAGCCTTTGTTTCTGGCTCCTTTCAGCAACTGATGGTGAGGTCTGTTCTGACTCAGCCATTGCCTGGCTGGCTCTACGAGCGAATGAGCGGGGATGCGCGACCTGCTTGCCACAGGTCAACGATAAAATGAGAAGTGTTCAAGCACCAGCCAGTTGCAGGGCTTTTTGCTTTGCTTGCTTGCGCGTTTTGTTCTGCGTGCTTTATGTATCTATTTATGTTTTTGTTTTTAACCTATTTGCTTAGTTATGTAGCTATGTATTTCTCTCTTTCTTGCTGTCTTTCATTTTTTCCTTCTTCCTGTATTTCTTTCCTTCTTTCTGTTTTTCTTTCTTTCTTGCTGTTCTTTTGTCGGAAGCCAGCGGCAGCTTCACCCGCACTATTTTTTTTTTCTTAGCATGGGATGCTGATGACGTCCAATGCCGGAAGCAGGCCGCATCTTCAGTCGTTAGATGAACCAAAGCTGACATCTGGTTGATTGCAGATTGATTAGCAGGGCCCACTTCCAACCGTAAACAGATCCGGCCGCCTTTGTGGACTCTTTTGCGTCGGGTGGACCGATACATCAACATCGGTATCCTGGTTGTTTGGTAACTCAAGCAGCACATTCAGTGCTGTTTTGGGGTGTGGGAAGCTGGTGATTTGGGGGCGCGCTCTGATATTATATAGGGTTTCTTTGATCTACCTGGGGCTCATGTAATTGAGGTGGGTATCCTGCAATTGCATGGCGTTGTTGTGTTTTCCTTGCTGTCTTTGGAGGCTCCCTGTCTAGGGCTGGGGAAAACATGCACGGAGTTGCTTCACTAGGGGCAGGGGCTTGAATGGGCCAAGAAGCCGTGAGAGAAGTAATTGCCGGCAAGCCGTTCAAACATGAGTGTTTTCTTTGGGCTTGTGGCTGCTACCTTGTTTGGCCCTCAGCCTCAAGCGCAAACTAAACCATGCAAATGCGAGCCCAGTTGTTCAGCACTAATTGGGTGTGTCTTTGCTTGCGAGTACGGCGTTTTGGTTGGTCTCAAAGGGCAAGTAAAGGGACAACCCACCCATGTTATTTTTTTGGTGGTCCAAATCCTAAAAACCGACCTGTACCCAATTATGTTTCCCCGTTTTGAATGAGCATGGCTTCCCCAGACCCGAGCCCCAGACTTGGTTCCCTTCTTCCGGGGTCCCTGAGAAGGCGCTCCGGCCTTTGGCTCCAGGAATTATCTAGGATTTGTCCAGGAAGCGGTGTCCAGGAAGCGGGAGATCCAAAGTGGCCCAATTGTCCACCGGATTACCACCCCCCACAGTTTTTGGGGGTGATACCCCGGCAAGTTTTCCTTCTTCTTTTTTTCTGTGGAGAAGCTTTCAGGTTTTGCGAGTTCCAGAGTTTGGAAGGACGCGCATCAATTTGTGTCCCTGTGAGCGAAGACTCGGACGCCATGGAGCCCGGGGTCTTCCGCGGTCCCAGGCGTTCGGGATCTCCCAGGGATTTTGTTGGGTGTCTCTCACTGTGCGTCAAAGTCAGGACCCCCCCCAAAAGAAAGGTGGTGTTTCTTGTGGGATCCCTACAAATGGGCTAAGTATCCCCAAAGCGCCCCCCCATGAGTTGTTTCCTTTGGGGAGGTCCTTTAAGGCCAAGAGACCTTCCCAACAGAAAGCACGGAGCCACATCGCAGCGAAAGAGAAAGACTTTGATCGCAAGCGGTTTGCACAGACCAATGGCTATCCCATGATGTGTGGCGTGCGTTGAAAGCTGCTTTTCAAGACCTGCTGCCCTTGGTTTGTTGAGTGTCGTTGCATTCGGTGTTGAGATAGGCCAAACGAGCCCAATAGCAAGCGATGCAGGACATTTCTTTGCCAATAGCATGTGCTGTTGCCCCGCCACCCGCAATCCAAGCCTTAAAATGCGCGGATCGGCTTGCACCCTGATTTTTGTTTGCGGGGTGTCCTTCGTACGTTTTGCTTTTGAATTTTCTAGGTACAACCTCACGATATCCGACCATGCTTCCATGGGTTTCAGCTCGGCCTTCCTGCAGGCGACGGCTCGTCAGCCAACCGGCGCAGCAAACTGAGAGACCTCCGCCCTTGCCAGAGCCGGCGGCGTCGACGAGGCCGGCGCAACGGGCAGTGGTTATTTGGGCTGCTCTTTGGTTGGATCTTTAGACTTCTGTTTCTGGAAAATAATGATTTGTCCCAGTTAACCAAAAAAAACGTCTCTGGCTAGATGCTCGACTTAGTTCGGTATCTCCGTCAACCGTAGCGATGCGGGAGCAACATTGTAAAACGTTCCGCGCACGGGGATGTTGAGCCATGCAGCTGTAGGTTGAGCAGGGCTGCTCTGAGCCTTGTAAAGACCAAACACACAAGGGCCACAAGGGTAGTCATTTGGAGATCATCCTACGACCCAATCGCCAATGGATCACCCGCCAAATAGATGGTGATCCAATGAATGCAGATAGCTGTTTGTGGTTCAGGGGATGACTCTGCAAAACATGTTTTCGCTTGTTTGTTTGCTAGTGAGGCCTGACAAGAATTTTGACATGACATGTTGCTTCCTTTGCTTGATTTCACCCCTCCCCCTAGCAACTACTGTTCCATATGTGGGCTGCTTTATTGTCAGAGTGTTCCTGCACAAACAAAGACGCCCCCTCGCTCAACGGACATGAGCCTAATTTGCACAACCCTCAAAGACCAATACCCTGACAGAAGGCGTTTGCCAAATGGACCCTACAGTTGGGTGCAAGTAGGTGGCACCGCCTCATTTGAGTGTTCTCATCCCCTTTACCCACCCAACAAGGAGGGAGGGGGAAGGGGAGGGAGGCCAACAAAGGCATAATTTGGGCTCCCTCCCCAATTGTGCAGTGGAAGCGTCCCTCGTACCCTGACATTGCATTCCCATTTGACATGGCGGCTCCTGTCATTCGATCTACGGTTCCGTTTATCTTTTATAACGACCAGAAACATGGACCCCCCCCCTCACCACCCCTCGTTTAATTAACCGAGACGACTAGAAACACGGAACACGACTCGCTACCTCCCCATCACCCCCCCTCACCACCCCCCCCCTCCCGCCGCCGCCCCTCTCGGCCAGCTTGGGGCGCTCGGAGTTCCTGCAGTTCCTCGGCGCCTCGACGACCTTGGCCTTCTTCGCCGCCCAGCAGCCGAGGTTCGCCCGCGCCCGGACGGGAGCGACTTGGTGAGGAACGGTTCACCCGGATCCGGCCCAAAGGGGCAGTACGGGGGGGGGGGTGTTGTTTTTAAGGTTGGAGCCCCAAAGCGGTGGTTTTCCTTTGGCTCCCCTTCAAAAATCTCAGGAAATGGTGTACCCTGAAAACAGACGCCCATATATGTCAAAATAGGGGTCCCAAAACTTTTGTTGGAGTTCCTTCATATACGTACAAGTTTGTTGAACAGTGGTTTCCTCTGTATTGTGGATGTTTAAGGGCACTAGTCACCGGCAATTGTGACACTTTGAAGACATGGAACATGGAAATCTGACAGGCCTCTTTGAGAGGAAGCTGGTCTCTCGGGTATCTTCTTAGGGAGCGAGGGACCGTTGGGGTCACACCAAAGACCAGCGGAGCCCTGCAACCCCAAGCCCTCCACCCCTACCTTCACCCGTGGGTGTTCGCACAGGCCCCCTCGGACCCCGAGCTGCTACCCAACTCGCTGAGCTGCGGCGGCCTCACCCTGAAGAACCCCAAGTACATCGGCGGAGGCTCGAGATCCGACCGAGCCAATCCGTCCATTTGCTGATATGTGTTTGTTGTTCATTATTATTATGTTTAATTATTATTATGTTTAATTATTATTATGTTTAATTATTATTATTGTTACGGTTATTATTATTATTATTATTATTATTATTATTATTATTATTATTATTATTATTATTATTATTATTATTATTTGTGTTATTACTATTATTATTGCTATGTTCCTCGGTTGGTTTTCCAGGAATGTATCACTATATAACTCCTTCCATTCACTGTGTTGTTGTTTTGTTTGTTCCTCGGTTGGTTTTCCTACGAGTTCAATGTTCCTTTGTTTGGGGGACATGCCCCCGAATTTCAAAGACCCTAATTGATATTCGCAGACTGCACAAGCTATAGTTAACGAACTCACCCATCTCGTGGCAAATCGATCGGCGTTGCCCATAAAAGGACGACTATATGCCTTACTTGAGGTCCTTGAGCCGCATGTTTTGAGGATTCCCGATTTCCATGTTGTCATCGCAGTGCCAGAGGCACGCCGTGCGAGGTGCCACACCAGTCCTGACATGTCACAAGAAGGCTCATCTGAACCCCTGCCCATAAGGTGATGCTTTTTCTTGGGCAACTCCCTGTAAAGGCCAGGGCAGCAATGTGTAAGGTCCTCTTTTGATCTCTTTTGCCCCAATGGTGAGAGGATAATGGACATAAATGACATACTAAAACCCCTGCAGTTTTGCGGGGTAGCATGTAAGTTGCCCAACAACACAGCCCAGAGTGTGCAGGCATTTTGTTCGCTCAAGAACCTTACCGGGCAACGCAGAGGACGCTGCTATGCGGGCTTTTAGCTGCTCAAGACAATTGCTTTTGTTCCAAGATCACAATTGTGCGCATCATGGAGCACCTTCAGAAGGTGGCACCTCAATCAACATATGTTGGTTGTTGGCACCTTGAGCAGGTGGCAGCACCGCTTTTATGCCGGGGATGGCAAGGCAGCAGCGAGATTTTGTCACAGGCCGAAGGCCACACCTTACTCAGCCCGGGGCAGAGGGCACCTCAGAGGCTTAGACTCCGACTCGGGGCTTTGACCCAAGGTGGTGGGTTTGTGTTTTCCCGCTCGTTTGAAGCCATGGCGGCGGTCTCTTCTACGGCTTCGCCGGAGCGTGCTCCTGTGCGTATCGTCACCGCAGAGTGGCTGAAGGAACATCTGGAGGCTGGCGGGTGGCTGTGGCTTCAGCTTGCATGGCCATCCCTGGCCTTCCATGGCCCTTTCAAAGGAAAGTCGGAATCATGTAGGCTTGGTTTTGAAGGGAAACCAGCCAGTTTGGAGTTTAAATGAAATCTAAAAGAGCCAAGGTTCAGAATGCGTCGCGTTTAAGCAGGCGACAGCGGGTCCCACCCCGTCCGGAGGAGGTGGATTTGCTGGAGGTGGCCTACCGTGACATTGACGGCTACGAGGAGCCGAGAGGTCGACAATTCAGGGACATGGCTGTAGGTTCAAAGTGAACATTTTGAAGGGTTCGCACAAACAACCTTCAAGGATGATATCCCTTGTAACACGATGTGGAGCTTAAACTGAAGGTGGACCAAGCTTCAGCAGTCGCCCAGTGACTGCTTGGTCAACTATTCAACTGTCCGAAAAGAATCCCTTGGGCTTGCAGATGCCAAAGCGCAGTCGCTGGGCGGCACTTCTGGCGGACCACGACAGTCACACAGGAGGTAACCTGTAACCTTAATTCGTGGTTGAGATGGGTGGTTTGCGGAATTTGGACCCCTTCCCTTTGTAACCTCCAAGCCACCATTCCAACCACCAATCAGAGGGAAGCTGCACAAGGTCCGTGACTACTCACCCAAGGGGAAAAAAGGGTATGCAAGCAGAGCATTGGTCCAACAAATCGAAAAGCGATGTTTAAGCTGCTTACAGTCATGTCCACATGTGGTTTTAAAGCCCCCCACACTCCTTCAACCTCGTTCTACTTCTCCCTTCTGGAGTTCCTTGACTTCATGCATTTTTGGGTTTGGACCACTTTAGTGGTAAGCAAACGGTGTAGTGTTTTTTTTGGCCTCACCGAAGGAAGCTTCAGGCCCCCACAGGCCCTGACCATTCCCAGGAGGGGAAGTTTGCGCCTTGGCCGGGCATCCCCGGCGCGAAGTCTGTGCACCCCTCGGTGCTGGAGGCGGGCTGGGACCGAAAGGGCTACTACCCCCGCTACTCCGAGCCGCTGCGCCTCGGAAAGCCGAGGAAAACGCGTCTTTTCCTGCGTCTCAAGCACTCGCAAGCTCCGAACATGGCGGAATTTGGGGGGTTCCAGTCCCAGACCAAATCCTACGTAGCCACCAATGAAGGCTCCCAACGCCACAAGTGCTGAATCGGGACCGAACTTTGTCCACCAAAGGGCTCATTAAGATTCATTGCCACGCAATCCTATTGGTTTTTCGTCATAATCCAAGAATACGGGGATTTCCTCAAACAAGACGCACCCTTCAGGCCATGAAACCGCAGCGAGTTCCACAGAAAGTTAGCCTTTTTGGCTAGCAAGTTCACCCCAGATTGAACTCCACGAGAAAACAGCGGGGCAAGTGGAACTTGAGTGATGGTCCCACTCCCTGAGTTTTGTTTCCCTTTTGGGGTTTGGGCCAGTTTAGCGGTAGCGAACAAGCTTGGGCTGTTTTGCCCAATCCGTGAAGTTCACATCTCCAGACTTCCCATTTCCCCGTCCGGTCTCCGGGCGGACGGGCGAGGCACGGCAACATTTTGCCTCCCCAGCTGCTGCGCGAGCTTTGCTTGGAGCTGGGCTTACCCGCCCCCAAGTCGGGCAAGCTCGTGGTGGTGCAGCTCGTTGGCATAAGATCAGACCCCCGCAGTGGGGCCCGATCATTTTCATGTTTGTTTTGCAGGGGGAACCACTTCAACCAGCAACCAGTTTAAAATCCCAAGTACTGTCCAAAAAGCAGCGGTTGCGGGGTTGCTGGAAAAGGTTGCCCTTTTTCCATGGCCACTGCAGGTTTGCATCGAAGCCTTGATGCGGGGAAGCTGTAAGGAGACTTAGCATGCCACAGTCCAGCCCAAAAAAAGGCAAAGCGCCCCGAGCATCACCAAAACAAGGGCAAGAACACAGTACATCAGTAGCGATGCTAGAAGAACGCCTCTGGCACAAGACACACCACTTCACCAAAGCCTTGTACGGTATCCGATTCACGTTCCCAAGCTGAATGTACCACCCGCATCGGAGCTGCATCACACAACACTGCGCCACAAGCGCGTTCCAGGAGGCGCGAGCCTGCGCAGCTTCGCCTAAGTGTGTACAAGGAGCATTGGACATGGATTTGTGGCACCAGGGCGTCAAATGTCCAGAAACACCCCCCTCTTCCACCGAGCGAGACAAGAAGCAGCCAAACGGCACACAAAGTCTTTGTACAAACCCTGAAGTCGCCTTCCCGCTGGCCAGTCCGGACAATCTGCTACACCATATGCACAGAAGTTCAGCAGACAGCACCCAAGTCTGAACAAGTGAAGTCTGGGATCTCGAGAAGTTTCGACCGGCGAGTGTGCGGAAGCCTTGCCGCAGGCTCGCGGCCAGGGCGACAAAAACCCGAGCCCCTTGACAAACAGCGGCAACTGTCTAGGCCGCTTAGCATCCGAAGATTGAGCTTCTACAGCTGCCCGAAGCGCAGCGCGCTCTTCACTTTGACCGGGGAGCCAAGGCAAGTTGAAAGCTCGAGAAGTTGTTAAGCCGAACATGAGACACCAACAAGAAGCGCAAAAAGGATAAACTGATATGGACTTGTTCATCCATGATTGTTTTTGCTTGGAGAATGCCGCCCAAAACGATGGAATTGTCTTCTCCCGTCCAAGACTTACACACCCCAAGGTACGGCAACCACCCAGCCGAAGAGTCCTTGAGCGCTATGGCGGCTGGACGTGTGGCCTGGGGCCTCTGTGCTGCAGGCTACGACTTCGAGGCGAGTCATCGCTTGCCCGCATGCGTTTGTCATCAAGGGTCGTGATATCCGTATGCTGGAAGGATCGTAAATTGCAGGCTCAACTTGTGTAACTGGTGCAATATTTGGGTAGGACATATAACGACCCAGGAAGGTTGCATGACATAGCAGTTATGGGAAGGGTGCATACTGCCCTACCAGCAAATTTATATGTATGTAGTATATATATATATATATGTACATCATCGCAGAAACCGACGTTTTCGCACCTTAAAAGCGTAACAATGTCCTTTGTGTTGGCTTCTTGCTACTACTCCCATTTCGAGCATTGCATTTTAAAGGGAATCGTGGGAAGACTATGTCTGGGGTACGAAAAGACTTCGATTCCTTGCGCAAAGCCAACCTTGCGACCTGTAGATGGTTTCATGGCCGGGTCAAGGTCCTCCAAACGTCCCATGGGTGCATACAGCCAGCGAGTCTTTCACGGGCTTTGTCAAACGTACCAAGCTTGGGCCCAACAAACCGGAGCTAAAGGTTTCAACCTGGCCATAGGCTCACGGTTGATGAATAAGGGTGCTGTCCCCTTTTAGCGGGGAATCATCACTTTTGGAGAGGAACACCCCACCTATTACAAGGGAGGGGCTTTTGATCCGAAGTCAACATTGTGGGTTCACGAAATCAGCCGTAGGCGGCAAGGCTCAGACAATTAGAGGCTGAATAACTTCTTACAGGGTACCACCAAAGAAGGGAACATTTCCAAGGGCCGATGGGTGAGCCTGAAACTGAGGAATCCATATCAGCCAAGCATCTCATATGTTTGACTTTCCAAAGTCGTGATGAAAGAAGGTATTGTAGTAGAACAGATAGTTTTAAGGCAGAGCGTTGGCCATGGACGTCAGGCAAACCAGAGGGAAGATTTGAGCTCACCAGGGGGAAGACTTGAGGAGCTCCCTTCTTTCCAGTTTTGGAATTCCAGTAACCTTGCTGATCCCACAACAACAGCACACAAGAACAGCACACCATGCCGAACGTCCTGTGAGGATCACAACCCTATCAAGTTGAGACC